GGAGCTTCCCCACTCAGAAAATTTTACCCACCCCCTGAGACATTGGGCTGGCCACAGGCCTGTTAATCATAGCTGTTAGTATATCATTTCCTTCAAATATCTCATTAATGGTTGATCTGTATGGGTACCAAAAGTTATGTTAAATGTGGTTATTGATTATTTAGTACAAACCTCTACTGTAGTCTTGTAAATTGACTGTTGGCTGAGGTGTTTTTGACTGACATCTGGTGTGGCCAATGGCTGACCATCGTGGAAATTGGTTAAAATAAGGGAGATAACTTCCAGAGTTTTTCCAAGTCCCATGTCGTCTGCCAAAATACCTGAAAGAAACAAACATTTTCATAATAAACAATTGATGTATTGATCACTATTTTAGCAGTGAAAAGTGAAAATATTTAATTATTGTAATTTACAATTATAATCTGATTGTATAACCATAGTATCAATGAAAGAAACATCATCGAAAGGGCTGGTAACACTTTTTCTGTAAATTCAAAACTGAACTATCACTGCTACAATGCAAATTTAACACTGATGTTGAATATGGTTCAATCAATGGATTAAGAAATATACACCGACATAAAACAGTGGGAACTGAAACATGTAAACTAAACAAACCTCCGTGAACTGTAGATGGTCTATGAGAAGTAGTATACCCTGTTAAACTATTGTAATAACGCTGTCCTCCTTTCTCCCAGAACGGTGGTAACGCTTCATTATTCTCCTTACATATCATCCAGTTTAACGCCTGTTTCTGATGGGGGTATAGCGGTGTTCTTATAGCCTGAAATATGGTACCAAAAATCATGAAATAACTATGACATGTTGCACAGACAACACCAACTAAAGTATGGGGCTCGAACTGAATCAAGCTTTGGTCTCACGAAGTCTGAGCTAACAAGAAAAATTGGGAGGCAAGGTGATCTTTGACTGACAATGACGTCATTCACCCCCGGACATACAGAAAATCATGAGAGAACATTCGACTGAAAGGTTACATTGAACTATGGTGAAATGTAGAGTATAATTTTATATCTATTTATGGTTAATCGTTGAATATATTGTTGGAGTGAAATACGTTTCAAAATAACTGATTTATTTTGGGGAGGAATAGATTTAGAAGAACTCTGTCAGGTAGGAATGATCTCACTAAGGTTAATAAGCACTGCATTGGAGCATTAGGATTATTAAGGCTTCACATTGGACAAAAGTTATATCTAATCATTGTAATGGTAGCTAATTAGTTAATCAATAAGTACCTGTGTTGGTTCAGCCATGGCCGTCTTGCCCCCCTCTTCTAGCGAATCAAATAATTTATCCATTTCAGTTTTAACCTGAAATATCAACCTTCACTTACTGGAGTATTTAACAAATTTAACATGATCCTCATAAAAACACCGAGAATCCAGGGAATATATAAATATCTAATCATAAAAACACTGAGAATCCAGGGAATATATAAATACCTAATAATAAAAACACTGAGTATGCAGGGAATATATAAATACCTAATTATAAAAACACTGAGAATGCAGGGAATATATAAATACCTAATCATAAAAACACTGAGAATGCAGGGAATATATAAATACCTAATCATAAAAACACTGAGAATGCAGGGAATATATAAATACCTAATCATAAAAACACTGAGAATGCAGGGAATATATAAATACCTAATTATAAAAACACTGAAAATGCAGGGAATATATAAATACCTAATCATAAAAACACTGAGAATGCAGGGAATATATAAATACCTAATCATAAAAACACTGAGAATGCAGGGAATATATAAATACCTAATCATAAAAACACTGAGAATGCAGGGAATATATAAATACCTAATCATAAAAACACTGAGAATCCAGGAATATATAAATACCTAATCATAAAAACACTGAGAATGCAGGGAATATATAAATACCTAATCATAAAAACACTGAGAATGCAGGGAATATATAAATACCTAATCATAAAAACACTGAGAATGCAGGGAATATATAAATACCTAATTATAAAAACACTGAGAATCCAGGAATATATAAATACCTAATTATAAAAACACTGAGAATGCAGGGAATATATAAATACCTAATTATAAAAACACTGAAAATGCAGGGAATATATAAATACCTAATCATAAAAACACTGAGAATCCAGGGAATATATAAATACCTAATTATAAAAACACTGAGAATGCAGGGAATATATAAATACCTAATTATAAAAACACTGAGAATCCAGGGAATATATAAATACCTAATCATAAAAACACTGAGAATCCAGGAATATATAAATACCTAATCATAAATGTGACAATTTCTCATGGGGGTTGATTGGACCTAGAATATATTTAATAATTAATTAATTAGCTATCACTAAATACCTCATCTGATTCAGGTTTGAGGTTCTCATCTTCCTCATCTTCCTCATCTGAAGCATCAAATAATCCACCTGTTTCATTTCTATTCTACAAAATCAAAATCCTTCAGATACAGGACAAATTTCAACAAATGTAACATAATTTTGATAAAAAAAAACTGAAATACACCAATATCTAAGCTAAGAAATTTTTGGTCTAAGAGGAAAATGAATTATTTTGCTTGATCATAGAATATAGGTAAAGAAAAAAAGCAATTTCTTAACATCATTTTTGTAATAGCTTCATATTATAAGCTCAATATCAATTGCCAATGTGAAGCTTGTTATAATATACTCTTGTATTCATCACATAAAAACAACATCCTTACCTTTTTGGGTGGACGGAAACCACTGCTTGACAGGACATGCCTGTAGTCTGGACCTGAATGACTGCCGGACACTTGATGACCTGATTCTTGACAACCAGACAAATGACTGCTAGAAGCTTGACTGGATGAGGTTTCACCAGAATTTTCTTTTGGAGTAAAACCACGAGATCTTAAAACAGAAAACGCTTCCTCCTTCTTCTCCAGATCTCCCCACAATGTTATCTCTAGTCTCATTGCATGCTTGTATAAATAACCCATGACTGCAACTCTAAAATAACATAACCCTTATCAATTTTAATTAACATAACTCTTATCAATTTTAAATAACATAACCCTTATCAATTTTAATTAACATAACTCTTATCAATTTTAAATAACATAACTCTTATCAATTTTAATTAACATAACTCTTATCAATTTTAATTAACATAACCCTTATCAATTTTAATCAACATAACTCTTATCAATTTTAATTAACATAACCCTTATCAATTTTAATCAACATAACCCTTATCAATTTTAATTAAAATAACCCTTATCAATTTTAATTAACATAACCCTTATCAATTTTAATTAACATAACTCTTATCAATTTTAATTAACATAACTCTTATCAATTTTAATTAACATAACCCTTATCAATTTTAATTAACATAACCCTTATCAATTTTAATTAAAATAACCCTTATCAATTTTAATCAACATAACCCTTATCAATTTTAATTAAAATAACCCTTATCAATTTTTATTAAAATAACCCTTATCAATTTTAATCAACATAACCCTTATCAATTTTAATTAAAATAACCCTTATCAATTTTAATTAACATAACTCTTATCAATTTTAATTAACATAACCCTTATCAATTTTGATTAACATAACTCTTATCAAAACATAACCCTTATCAATTTTAATTAACATAACTCTTATCAATTTTAATTAACATAACCCTTATCAATTTTAATTAACATAACTAAAAAAATTGATCCATACGTTTAAACTATCTAAAAGGTTTACGTAAATATATATTGTTATATTTTACTAGTTTTAAATTATGGAAATTCTGCATACTTCCCCTTTAATAAAACAGTTGTAAAGTAAAAATAACTGTCAAGAGTTGGTCTAGTGTTAGCTTTCCTTAACCTTCTCTCCAAAAAACAGGAGTTGCCTACCCTTCTAATCGTGCAAGTTTATTATCCAGTATGAAAGTTAAAGTTTCCGCCAGATCGCGTTTAATATGACCAACTTGTTCAGAATCCATGTTAACCACTTGGATAGCATTTTTATAATACTCATCGTCTCGTTTTAACATCAACTTTTCTTTTGCCTCAACCTGCAGTATAAAAATAATATAGATCATTTATTACCAACTTCATCTTATACCTTGACTACAATAGCCACATTTTTTATATCTTCTCAATATCAAGCTATTACCAATTTTGTAATCATATGTTGACTCACAATATGACTGAAACATAAATATTTAAATCAGTAACAAATCTATTAATATCCGAAATAAATCGTATTATATATCACTACTTACTCTTCCC